TTAAAGCAACAACCGTTACTAAAAGAAGAAATTAAAGTAAACTAGTCAGGACTGAAAGAGTTTTCAGAAAAAGTTATCTGGCGTATAGTGTCAGATATGTCGTATGGACGAATCATTTGATTCACAACCGTCAATATAATTAAGTGTGTGATCGTAGTCGGTGTTGAGTCCATGATGGTTTAACTGCTGCAGAAAAGTTGTTCCTAAAATGGACGGAACCGCTTCTTCTCCAACGCTTATCCTCTTCCGCCCATGACACAGTGTTACCAGTGCTATTATCTGTTTCCTCGCCTCCCAGGTAGATGCACTCCAGCTTTGAAAAAAGAGACGCTTGCAAAAGTTTAGTGGATCTATTATTGTGCCCAACCCCGTACAACGGGACCAATCTCGCATCTGGCATATTTTGCTAACCCCTATGTCGTAGACAAGTATTCACTCACTGGATGATATCGTCAACTTCATGTAGGCTCCCCGTGGCTCATTTTAGCCTGAGTCGAGCTGCCAGCTCATGTCAGTTTCAAATTCCGGGTTATTTAGAATTCGAACCTGGACCACTTGGCTGGCAAAAAGATGTGAATTCACTGACACACAGCGTGAACGAGGGAAACTTGGATGCAGCAGAAGAAGTCTTAGGTAAAAAAAAGAAGATACCACGTAAACCACGGGTAACAGGCAACGTCTTGAAATTATGCAATATACGACGGGAAATTAAAAAGGAGAAAATGCAAATCCTAGCAGCAGCTGAACAATATAACATAGCCAATAGAAAAATAAGGACACAAATAAAGATGGTAAAAGAAGGATGGATTAAAAACCAGTGTGAGGTAGGTAGGTAGCTGTACTCCACAGGACATCACACAAGCGATAAACACCCGGTGACACAACGTGCCACAATGCGGATAAGGATCAGTCGTAGAGAGGTCCCAGAAATCCCTTTCAGTCGTAAGGCCATATCTATGACCCGGCTATATTCAGGGTTCCCGGCAGAAGCCAGGATGGGGCTTAAAAAAAAATTGCATCCTACCGAGGGGACGACTAGATGTGCAATTATATATCAGTGTGAGTCCATTGATGTGGGTCTAAAATGGAGCAACACCAAGGCAGCGTACGAGACAATCAAAAGACAAACTAAATCACAAAAATCCATCTCCTTAATGAGAAAAGATCAATATTGGAGAGGTGGACGAAATATTGTAAAGACTTATGTAATCAAGAAGCAGAGCCTGACACTACAGCCCCAGACACCATCGTATGGGAAAATAGAGAAGCTGACGACGCTGAAATATTGAGAGAAGTTGAGGAGGCGATACGCTCATTAAAAGAAAAGAAATCGCCAGGTGTGGGGAACTTTTGAAATACGGAGGAGAACATGTAACTAAGGTGACGACACAAGTGTGCAAGAGAATTTGGGTAACTAAGAAGTGGCCTACTGAATGGAGACAATCGTTGGGGATATCACTGCCAAAGAAAGGAGATTTGAAAATCTGGAACAATTATAGAACTATTAGTCTTATCACTTACGCAAGCAAAATAATGCTAAAGATATTGCTTAACAGATTGAAGGCAAAATCTGAAGAAATATTTGCCGAAGAACAGGCGGGTTTCCAGAAAAATAGAAGAACTACAGAACAAATCTTCAGCGTCAGAACAATGATAGAAAAACACTTATAATATCAACGCGACCTATTCCATATATTCTCGAACGCAAAAGAAGAACGCGACCTATTTCCATAACTTCATCGACTTCACGAAGGCATTTGACCGTGTGTAGTGTGCTGGGCTCTGGCAAATAATGAGAAATTTCAACTTCGTTAAGAACATTATAGACACCATTGAAGCACTTTATAAAGATACAAGCAGTACAGTACTCATTCAAAACGACGTAAGTAAAGTTTTCAAAACCACTGTGGGAGTGAGACAGAGTTGCAAATTATCCCCAGTCCTATTCAAATTTGTATTTAAAACACATAATGAGAGAAACACTAAAATATCATGAAACATCTTTATCCATTGGCGGAAGACAATCATGTAAATTTACGTTTTGCAGACGCCATTGATCTCATGGCTCGTTCTGAAACAGAACTCCAAGAACTTACTACAAAATTAGAAGTCTGTGGCATAGAAATTAATGCTGAGAAAAGCAAGATTCTGATAAATAGTCATAATAATCATGCACCTACCAAAAACAGATCAAAAGGGGAAAAACTAGAAGTTGAAACCTTTAAATATATTGGCTCCTACATGTGTAACGATGGCAGCTTTACCGAAGAGATCAAGACAAGACATGATATGGCAACAGCCGTGATTTCCCAACTGAATACGATGTGAAAGAGCAAAATCAGCTTCGCATTTAAGGTCAATTCAATATTTACAAATCACTGGTATTGTCAGTTTTCTTATTCATTCATTCATTCAGTAGCATGTCCCTCGCGGAACCTCGCTGCCATAACAACCCTCCGGAAAACCTTCCTATCATGAGCAAGATGTCCTGCGTCTGATACACCCATCTGGAGATCATCTGCCACATCCTGCACCCATCTTCTCCTAGGCCTTCCTCTTCCTCTCTTCTTTTTCTTATACTGATGTGAAAGTTGGACTCCGCTGTTCCACACCTCTTGCTCTCTTGCCTTCGACCTTCCCCTCTAGTATGGTTTTCAAAAGCGAGTTATGTCTTTTAATGTGGCCAAAGTATTTCAATTGTCTCTCCCCCCTCCCCCCCCCCCCCCCCCCCCCAGCAATTCTCTACTCATTTGCAGTCCTTTCAGAACATCTGCATTAGACTGTTTTTGATTCCACGAAAAAAGACCTATTCCTTCGTATACCCACGTTTCCACAGACTCAATTTGATTTTCTAGTTGCCTGTTCATTGTCCAAGTTTGTGCACCATATAGCAGGAATGGGTACACATAACATTTGATGATTCTCATTTTTAGTGCGTTGTTGATCTCTCTAGTAATTCAGTAATTCGCGCATCTTAAAGACAGTGTTAGCTATTCCTGTTATCTTTTCGATTGCTGTTTCGCTTCTTCCATCATCTATTATTCGAGCACACGTCTCCCGGACGAAAGTCTTGCGTTCTATCCACATGGCCAGTCACTCCTATTCGGAATGAGTGGTAGATATGGAGAGGGACAAAACTCAGATAACATTCTTTCTGTCTCTGTCTGTCCGACTCTCTTCCTCCTTCTCTATCATTGTATCTCCACACACACACACACACTTACACACACACACACACACACACACACACACACTTACACACACCCACACACCAAAGAAAAGTCATGAAAACAGGCAATGCAGCAACTACAATGAACGGATTAACAAAGAGTTCAAGAGAAGAGAATCCTCACATTTGTCAACGCATAAAACTTGGTCTCCTGGTCTATTAGACATTTGCACGAGGCTGAGCCTCCCCTCCCCCCTTTCCCACCCTAAAAAATGTTGTAATTAGTGAAATCCCCGCTTAAACCATGCATAGAAAATATCTTTTAACAAAGGAGAAAAGGGAGGGGGCAAGAAAAGGACCACTGTCCCCTAATAAACAAGTCGAAGTCTGAGTGTCTCTGCATGAGATGCGAGGAACCATCAGTCTGCATACACATAAGGTAGATCTGTAAAGCAAAGGTGCAGGAAAAACTCAAGTTCTATAACAAGGCTGGAGTCATTTTTTTTTTACATCGATGAACGAGAAGAAGACGAGGATAAATAGGAGGAGAAAGAAGAAGGAAACAATACTGATTAACTTAAACGTACCAGCATATGATAATGTAGTGCAATGCGACAACATAATGATAAAGGGAAGTGTCGAATTAAAGCTTTGCATAACTGCTTCTGGACGAAATGGCAAACTACTGGACGTAAATTTGCCTAGAGAAACCACACAACAGCCAGGGGCTGTTAGGGTTGGTTCTGCAACGTCCTGTAGAGGATACGCAACAACCTTATAACTGCTTCACAATTTTAGGATTTATGGAAAAGGATGTGTCCCAGTCAGTCAGTCAGTCAGTTCTCGTTACGCCTAGTGGCACATGAGGCTTCAGAGAGGACTTTCCATGCTTTCCTGTCCTGTGAAATCTTCAGTGCAGTTTTCCATGTCAAAGATGCCGCACTCAGGTCACTTTCCATCGTTTGTCTCCATGTTGTTTTTGGGCACCCTGTTTTCTCTTTCCCTCTGATGTCCATGTGAGAGCTGTTTTGGCAGGTATATCAAAAGAGCAACCAAGAGGTTTTGAAAGAGGCGGGAGCCCGAAGACAACTTATCACAGACATCAGAAGGAGACAGTCATCATTTTTCGGTCGTGTTATGAGAAGAGGGAAAATAGAACATTTTATGACTACTGGAAAGATCTGTGGAAGAAAGGATAGAGGAAGACAACGAGAGAAGAAGCTTGACAGTCTTGTTGCATGGCATGGAGGTGTATCTGCACACGAACTGATACATGCTGCAGGAGATCGCAGATTATGGAGAGGCATGATCGCCCACACCAGTCGGCAAGGCACCTGATGATGATGATCAGAAGTCATTCTCATAACGTGGCCAAGCCATTTCCATCTTCTCTTGGTATGTGGGGTATGTGTCCCAGTACTTTATTTTATTAATTTTTATTTTCATTTGAAAGCCGTGAAAAGCGAATTGTTTGTTGCACGTAAGCCGAGGAAGAGACTAAGATGGCAGCCAGCAGGAATTAATCAATTATTGATTGGTGTGTACATTTTAAAACAAAAACTGAATATGAAAAAAACTACAATCTGAAAATTAAATAGACATCTTCACAGGATAAGAATAGGAAAGAATGCTTTGTAGGATGTAAATGTCAAGTCGTAAATTTGAGACAAAAGTAAAAATAACATATCCACGTATTCCATTCGAAACTATTTTGTATTTTCCAGCACCAACTTTACATAAATAACATCATGGAGTCCTTGTGTATTGTTTTTGTTGGATCTTAGTCGGTGTCTGTTAGGAAAGGAATACAAATTCTAATACCTCTTGGAACATGTTTATTGGATGCATATCCCGATCGTTATCCAGGCCTTTCATAGGACATTTTTGCCTACAAAGCAAAGGCAGTGGTGTGTTGGTCGCGAAATTACAAGCAAAATCTGGTAATGCGCAGTTGTCGGCATTGTTATTGTTTCGAAATTATCAGCCTAACGGAGTTATTCAAGGTCACAGATTCTGTTCTCAGAGCCACCGTTTTCAGTTTCAGCTTCAGCAATTACATCAGAATTTACAGTTATCTAGGAACATTCACAAGCAGTTTAACAGTAGTCACACAAAATACCAGCTACCTAAATTGAAATTGTCAAGGGAGCGATTGAAGCTGAGGATAGGAGCATCAACAGCGATTGTTTCAATAATAACGTATGGAGCCTACTATTTTTATAACTCCTTTCAGCTTGCATGGTTGCTGGGTGCATCTGTTTATGCTGATAGTCGGAATAAAAATAATTTCATAGCAGATGTCGTTGAAAAGGCAGGCCCTGCAGTTGTGTTCTTGGAAATCAAAGGAAGGTATGTTACTGAGTGTTATTCTTAATAATATTCTTCTTCTTCTTTGTGTTCACCAGCTGTAAACTCTAGCAAAAAGTTCTGGTTTTTCATCCACTTTTGGACTGCAGTCTTGTTCCTGAACCTGTGTTGCATGTGCATCCATTTTACAGATCTGATTCATTTGTATGCAGACTGCTGGTTCCTTGCCTCTCAGGCAGATGCACTCTGACTTTGAAGGAAGCTCCCAATTAGTTGGCTCTTACAACATGCTTTTGTGTAGGCAGTGAATCTATTCTTGTTTTCTATGTAATAGGGCCCTGGAACCCACATGAAACTATTTAACATTTGGCTATCTTCCGAATAACGGTCCCAAATTATCAAGGCCGAAAATATACCCTAACAGGGCCTCAGTCGCATGTCATTTGCAGACTTCTGCCTGCCGAGAGTCTCTCCCATGCCGCTATGCGCATTGGGGCTAAACTAGATGGCTGGGACTCACGGGCAAATAAAATGAAGGAAGCTGCAGGAGATGCGGTAGATGCTGCTCGTGAGTCCCAGCTATCTAGTTTAGCCCCAGTCCACGCCGCTACGAGATACTCTAGGCAGTGGCGGTAGTCACGGGAAGTGCGCAATTTAAGTTGCTGGAAGTTCGCATTTGACATGTGACTGAGGCCCTGTTAGGGTATATTTTCGGCCTCGATAATTTGGGACCGTTATTTGGAAGACAGCCTAACATTCTTAAAATTATATCCTGTTTGTCTTGTTCTGGTTCTGTAAGTCATCTTCTTCATGCTCACCATCTGTAAATCATGGTGGAAAATTCTGTTTGTTTGTCCACTTGAATGTTGAATTAAGAATTGACATCATAGCACTTGGGACATCCCTATAAGCGCTTCGTCCCCATCTTCAGCAGCAAGAGAAGAGTTCCAATGCGATAGCACCAGCAAATGTCTGATTGTGTATCTGTCTCGCCTTTTCCCTGAAATTTGAGTGCCAGCCAGATCCCTGTGTAACACCTTACAGTGCAATTCTTCCCAGGCCGTAATAATCTATCTGTGTCTCCGCACTGTTTCATCGTTTCCAAAGAGCTCTCACAACATCCAGCCTGTCATACATCAGTTCATCACAGGCGGTGCAGAACCAGCCAGTCTATCTGCCAGCTCATTTCCCAACACACTGATACGAACCGGAGAAAGTATCAATGGATGCCAACTATCCGATACCTCTAAAGTGATGCCTGCCACTCTGGACGGAGCATGCATTAAGCTTGCAGTGACTGCCTCCACCTCCATTTTCAAACTAGACATGATCTCATATGCCAGGCTTTGCTGCACCAAGCAACATTCATTTTGCTTTTGCTATGAACTGCCATGCCTCTCAACACAGAGCCATGTGTATAGATAATCACATCACCTAGGCAGGACGTGTCATGAATCATTTGTTGAACTTCTGATTCTGCAGCACCAGTTGTTGCACACATGACTCAAAGGGATAAGAACCCTATACAAGTCTGAAACTTGCTCGAACTCTGACGCACTCCTTTCCTGGCTTAAATTTATGAAGCCTGCACACATGTCCGATCATATCTTCAGCTTGCGCCACATAAGACCTCCTTCTTTTCAGTTTGTGACACTTAGCTCTACCCAGGGCTTCATGCAGGAGGTGCTTCTTGTCTGCAGCTACTCTGACAAATGACTGGCTAGCAGAACTTAGAGCCTATCTGCAATAGTAAGCAGTGCAAGTATATATCATACATACTACCGGGCTATCTCTTGTACATTCTAGAATTACCCGCATGGCTCCATTCTGTATGCATTCAAGTTACATCAGCTGACTCTTTGATATGGTAAGCATTCCATGTCCATAAATTGTCACCGACAGGATCACCTGCTGGAATATTGTGAACCTCTTCAGCATTCTGACCCCTTGAGGTTCACTGCAACAGATATCACCTGCCTCCATTACTTGCTGTGTTTAGTGCTCTCTTTCCAAGATGTTTGCAAGTGTATTATCTTCCCACAATCTTCTTGGTCTGCCTCATGCCCTTTGATGATTCACCTCCCTTATGTACAGTTTTTACTTCTCTGCCATTTTGCCATCTGACATTCTCTCAGTATGCCCCAGTCATTTAAATCTATTAGCCATTGTGATCATTGGTGATTTCACAAGTTTTGTTGTTGTTTGTCTCTCTCTCTCTCTCTCTCTCTCTCTCTCTCTCTCTCTCTCTCTCTCTCTCTCTCTCTCTCTCTCTCCCCTCTCTCTCTCTCTCTCTCTCTCTCTCTCTCTCCCCCTCTCTCTCTCTCTCTCTCTCTCTCTCTCTCTCTCTCTCTCTCTCCCTCCCTCCCCCAGTCCCTGCTATTTTCATCTTTGATGGGTTTAAAGATTCATCATAAGACTGTTTAAAAAAAATGTGTAACAAGACATCATCTCTTTTGGTTGTGCTCAAAGTTTCAGAGCTGTTTAAAACAACTGGTCTTATCAGAGTTTTGTATATTTTGCTCTTGATGTTATAAGACAGAGACTTTGATCTTAGCAGATATTGTAGGGCATAGTATACTTTATTTCCAGATTCTGTTCTATATCCAAGTCCTCTCTAAAGTTGTTGTTAATAATAATTGTTTCAGACACCCCCTTACTGGTCGACCTGTGACATTGTCAAACGGATCTGGCTTTATAGTGAGGAGTTATGGGATAATCTTAACAAATGCTCACGTCGTTGCAAACAAGTCAACAGTGAGTGTGAAACTCCAAGATGGCCGTGTTATGGAAGGGCAGGTGACAGCAGTGGATCCAATTTCAGACCTGGCAGCTGTAAAGATTGCAGCTGTAAGCTGTGTAATTATTGTATCTCTGAAAATGTTGATACATTTTGTTTCTTGTCACTGTTAATGTATAAATGCAGGGCTCATTCTTGTCATGCTATGTAATTATTGTATTTCTGAAAATTTAAATAGATTTTGTTTCTTGTCACTGTTAATGTATGAATGCAGGGCTCATACTGGTCATGACCCATGGCTTTTTTTTTTCTGGTGGTATGCAGTAGCGGCACTTTTTTTCTAGGCTTCAAATTTTTTTTTCAGTGCTACTGTAAAAGATCATCTGTGGCTAAGGCGTTACAAACAAGCTTAAAATGCTGGGGTGCCGGGTTCGATCCCAGCTGCGGGCCTTGCATTGGTTTTAGCAGTGATATCGAGAAGTGGACCGTCTAGAAAGCAATGATAACTACTGGACTTAAATTCGCCTAGAAAAAACACAACACCCAAACAATGCTGGGGTTAGTTCTACTATGTCCTGTAAAGGACATGCAACTAACTTTAAAAAAAAAACTGTACTAGATTCTTTGTGTTGAGTACAGGCACCTTTGTTAAATACCTTATGCAAGTATATACTGGAGCAGTCAGGCCAGTCATGGAATATGCCTCCACTGCATGGGCTTCAGCAGCCAAGACAACAATGGGAAAACTGGACAAGGTTCAGAATATGGGATTAAGGATTGTTCTCGGAGCCATGAAAACCAGCCCCATCAGAGATATAGAAAGGATAGTAGATACTGAACCACTCGAACTCAGAAGACAATACAATGACAAGTATGAGAAATTAAAAAGACTTCAAAGTCACCCACTGCATTTTAAATTTCAAGAAAGAACATAAAACAGACTGAAGCGTCAGAGCCCCAACCACCTTGCTAGAGAACTGTACAGACAGCACCAAGATCTGCTTGAAAGAGATGTTGCACTGTGTGAAAAACTTAGGCCAGAACCATGGACAAGCAAGCCAGAGAAAGCAAATATAGTCCTAAAGGTACCAGGAATCACTTCAAAAGATGCCCAGACGGAGACACAACAGAGAACCTTGGCTCTTGCTATGCTTGATGAAAAGTATCCAAACACCACTTGGACTCAGGTTTTCACCGATGGCTCTGCTACAGATGCAGTCAGAAAGGGGGGTTGTGGAATTTACATTAAACCCCCTAGCAGTAGAGCAGAAACTCTCTCTCTCTCTCTACCAGCAGGTGACATCTGCACCAACTTCAGAGCTGAGGCAACTGCCTTCCTCTCTGCAGTCCAACATCTCATCACTCAAGACCACAGAGGGCACCAAATTGTTATACTTTACTTAGTGACTCATTGTCTGTTCTCCAAGCACTATCCAGCAAAAAACGAGACAAACTAATTGCAGATTTAAGGACCAACATTGGCTTACTCTCCAAGGAAGCAGAACTGGTTTTGCAGTGGATACCAGCCCACTGTGGTATTCAAGGAAATGAGAGAGCAGATGAGTTGGCAAAAGCTGGGAGTAATCTTCCACAACCTCATCTACCACACAGCTACAAGGAAACCAAAACAGCGCTAAAGCAGTCTTTCAAGCGGGAGTGGAGAAGGCAGAATGGAGATTACAGACCAGAGAGTGACAGCATAAACAAACTCAACAGGAAAGAACAAACATCAATTTTTAGACTTCGGACTGGACACTGGTCTTCGAGCACACTTGTACAGGATAGGCATAAAAGAATCTGCTGCCTGTGATTGTGGAGCAGAAAGACAGACCCCTGAGCACATACTACAGTACTGCCCTAACCTCTCCCAGCAAAGACTGTGGATTTGGCCCAAGGGAGCCACATTGCAAGAGAAGCTATGGGGGACTGGTGGCGACCTTAAACACACAGTCCTATTTGTGACCCAGACGGGACTCAATGTTTAGCATGACTGATGTCGAACGCAGAGGAAAAAGAAGAAGATACCTTATGGTGAGAACACACCCCAGTTTTTCTAGAAAATTAGTTCTAGTTCTCTCAAGACCCATCTACATTTAATTGTTTTCATACCAGAAACTGGTGCCTACTGGGGACCTGACCAGCATTGATACTATTGACCCAGAAGTTAGGCCCAACTTAACAAATCTGTAACTCAGTAACAATTTGTTGTAAGTTGTTGGAATTTGGCATGCAACTTGTTATCCATCATGTCCTTGTAAGAAACTATTTACAAATTTAAACTAACAGCTAGTTTTCATTTTGCCTTATTTGTGGTATATGAGGTAGAAAAAACAGATACAGATTCAGAGCAAACAGCCTGCTTGCTTACAATTAATTGAGTAATAGGAACTATTTTAAACATCATATTGCACAATTTCCTAGACGTTGCGCTCTCAGGTGGTCATCTCCAGCATTAGCCTCCAATAATTTGCAGGTTTTTCGTTGTGAGGAATAGGCAATCAAAATAATCACCATGCATCGCTGCACAAGTGAATTTATGTAAAAGTTGCAGATTGTTCATTGCATGAGTGATAGGCAATCAAAATAATCACCATGCATCGCTGCACAAGTGAATTTATGTAAAAGTTGCAGATTGTTCATTGCATGAGTGATAGGCAATCAAAATAATCACCATGCATCGCTGCACAAGTGAATTTATGTAAAAGTTGCAGATTGTTCATTGCATGAGTGATAGGCAATCAAAATAATCACCATGCATCGCTGCACAGATGAAATTATGTACAAGTTGCAGATTTTTCATTGAATGAGGGATGGGCAATCAAAATAATCACCATGCGTCACTGCACAAGTGCATTTTTTTTTTTTTTTAATCCCCATGCCGGTGTCATTTGTTGTGTGTTCTATTTTTCTTACACCCACTGTCCCCTAACAAGCACGTCATAAGAGTCAAATTATGGAAGTAGGAGTGAGGAACCAGCAGTCTGCATTCAAATAAACCAGATCTGGGATCATGCACAACTCATGTTCTGGAACAAAACCAAAGAAGAAGAAGAAGACTCAAACATGAAAGTGCCAAAATTATTATTTGCCCAAACAAAATATAATTTTTCATTAAATTTACTTGTCATGCATTAACAGGAATTCACTGCAGTGTAGTGACTAGATTCGGCGGATCCAAAAGTCATGGGTTCAAATGCAAATTGGAGCCAGGCGTTTTTTCTTCTCCAGAAATGACTTTGGCTGCCAGATTTACTTAGCCTTAAATGGGTACCAGGTAAAGTCGCGGAAGTCAAGTCGGCCGGTGCAATGTTGACTACAACACCCACTCGAATGCCAGTTCATCTATAAAATAGAGGTGCAACACTACCTGCCCAGTATGCAGTGAAGGCATGGATGGACAAGCGTGCTTATGTAATAGAGTTGGAGTGACTCCAGCTGTACAAAAAAGGGACTTGTATGCAGTTTAAATGAAAACTGCAGCTCAATAATCCACAGGAAACACAGCTGAAAACCTCTGTGTGGGATTTGATCCCTTCTGCTAGTGAACGCAGAGGCTGCGCTCTAACAAAGGCCACCAGGTGCAGATGTTTCCCAGGGACGCTCAGTTGTTTTGAATGGGAGGCAAGCACGTCATTATTGAGCAAGTCAGAACAACCATTCAGATGGGTCACAGCGACCTCTTCCAAATATGCGACTGTCACGCATAAACAGTCTCGGTCCCTGGACTCCTGAACTCAGGGATGGTGCGAACAGTTGCCAAATTGTCCCTGACATACTTACATAAATAAACATGAATATTGTTACTGGTCACTTTAATATAAAGATGCTCATCATAATTTCAGAAAGATCTACCAGTTATTCCTTTGGGTGAGTCATCGGATATTCGACCTGGGGAGTGGGTGATTGCCATGGGAAGTCCTCTCTCTTTGAGCAACACTGTGACTTGTGGGATTGTCAGCAGCGTCCAGCGAGCAAGTAGGGAGCTGGGCCTTCGAAACAAAGATATGGACTACATCCAGACTGATGCTGTCATTAATGTAAGTAAATGTGCCCTAATTATTACTGTTAACACAAATTTGGATACATAAGACACAGACAAATACACTGCATGGTGTATTGCCTATTATATTTTGCTGCATTTTGTTAGATGGGTTCCTACAGTCACCCTGTATATTTTTACAGTCTGCATCTCACAGACGGAAGACGAAGATTAACCACATAATTACCACGGAAGTCGAGGATTGATCTTTATCCTTTTGTTTTAGTAACCAGGGGTTGCAGTGAAATGTGCCCGAAAATGAGTTTGGCTGTATATTGTTTGTATCCTCTTTGTGTTAACTCACAGTGGGTTTGGTCGATTTGTTCCCTCTATGCTGCTACATCAGGGTTTACCATATCATCTTGAGATTTCAGAATCTTAGTCTGGATGGCAGACCACCAAGGCAGATCCCATATACCTTGTTCAGCCTCTAGAGAAGTTACAATTAGGGCACTTATAACGGCTACACCAGCCAGGAGCAACCTGCAGTCTTATATAGGTACGAATGAATTCATAGTGGGGGAAACAGTTTTCAATTCAGACGAATGTTACGTTAATAAAAATGCACACACTGGGAACTGGAAACATTTAAACTAAATCTGCACTACCTCTTGGTATCTAGCCGAAGTCTGTTGACAATGAAAGGACTAAGGGCATTAAGTCAAAGTCTGTTGACAATGAAAGGACTAAGGGCATTAAGTCGAAGTCTGTTGACAATCAAATGCCTAAGGGCATTAATTTGAAGTCTGTTGACAGTGAAATATATAAGGGCATTAAGTTGAAGTCTCTTGGCAGTGAAATATATAATAAGGGCATTAAGTTAATAAGGGCATTAAGTTAAAGTCTTTTGACAATGAGATGGCTAAGGGCATTAAGTTGAAGTCTGTTGACAGTGAAATGACTAAGGGCATTGAGTTGAAGTCTGTTGACAATCAAACGTCTAAGGGCATTAAGTTGAAGTCTGTTGACAATGAAATATATAAAGGCATTAAGTTAAAGTCTGTTGACAATCAAATGCCTAAAGGCATTAAGTTGAAGTCTGTTGACAATCAAATGCCTAAAGGCATTAAGTTAAAGTCTGTTAACAATCAAATGCCTAAGGGCATTAAGTTGAAGACTGTTGACAGTGAAATAGCTCTATAAGCCTTACATTCCTTGAGTATTAATTCAAAGACTTCTTTATTGTTCTTACAGTTCAAAGGCCTCTTCATTATTCTAACAAACTGTTTAGTGAACATTTCTGCTGAAAAGGGGATTTTCTTCTGTATACCATAGTTGATACCGTGTCCTAACATGAGATGCAATTTTGTTGTTGTTTTATAGCCCCTAACCGTTGAACAGGGTTTCTGGGTCTTGCTTCTGGTAGATTCTCATCCGATTGGTGGCACTTTGTGTCAGTGGGTATTAATAGCTCATTGTGTGGTCCTGGTGGGGTTGAATGTCACTCATCGTAGTAGAAGAACCCATTGAAAATGAAACTGCATACTTAACATGGGAACCTGAGTTATTTCATAATGACTTTTTTGTGTGTGTGGCCAGGATTGTACTTTAAGAAATAGCCATTCAGTCAGTTTGAAAGGTTTTGGTTTTCATATTATTGTCCTCGTTAGTGGGAAGATACTTTGTACCAGTGTTTAATTATCTAATACTGGAAAATGTACAGTGGACCCTGGTTTTCTAGTCTGTATTTTATCTTGTACTATCTTTTAGAAATAATTCTAAGAATATTCATTTTAACTTTTTTTTTTTGTTTAAAAAAAAATAAAAGTTTCATGTTTTCAGTGACATACAAATATATATGTATTATGTTTAGAAACTCTTCGCTTGCATACAGCCTTTTCTTTTTCAGTTCGGGAATTCGGGTGGACCCCTAGTCAACATGGTAAGTGTATAATTCGTGTGAATATGTAAATACAGAACAGAGAGTTGGAGATATTCTGTAAAACACCCTTATTCTTCTGTCTTATAATTACTACAGACGAGAATCATATGTTTTACATACAGTCAGTTCTTAGCACAGATTTACATGAGACAAAGTGTAACCTATGTTTTGCTTTATGTGGGTATTTAAAACCATGCACAGAAGGAGAAGAAATTTGGGCCACTCAGCATTAAAGATCGAATCCACCAAGAAGAGGCAGGCTACATCTGATGGCTTTCTTTGTATTTACAAGTCCTTGTCAAAATGTTATTACACTTGTCTGGATTATGGAGACAGCAACAGCGACAACAGTATAGCTAGAATTGATTTACTTTGTAACTAACAGGGGCATAGAATTAAAGGCACATCCACAAAAATACATGGAGAAGAGAGTTGGCAGGTGAAACTAAAATGATGGGAAGGAGGGGTGAGCAAAAGGAACTAGCAAAGGAAAGGATGACCTAGTGTGAGTTGGGGGGTGGGTGGGGGGATAAAGTGCAGAAAAACAGGATTGTATCTTTTTATCATCTTTATAATTAATAATGCCATGCAGGCATGTTGGAGATTGGTCTTGGGTGCAGACAGACTTTGCTTGACTTCATTAATGTGTACAATTGAAGTCTGTAGCATCCATTGGCATAACTGAGTTCATTAGTAAGCAGATTATTATGAAATTATTTAGAAACTGCAGAGGTGTTATTTTATAGATCAATGCTAACAGGACTGTGAAAAGAAAATAAATATATATATATATATATATATATATATATATAATGATATCTGAAAGGCGGAAACTCACATCAGAAGCAGATAATGTACATTGTTTAGCCATGTCCTGTTTGTCAACATGTCTAGATTATTTTTCTGTTGTCTAGCCCCCACGTTGACAGTGTCTTAACTGTTCTAACTGGCACTTGCTGTTTAATGTAGTGTCGAGGGAAGCCTAAGCTTGCATTGCCTGAGGTCTGTCATTTCCTGGCTTGTTTACGGTACTCCTAATGTTGTCTATCCATTGCTTCTTTGGTCTTCTACTGGATCCGCATCCAGATGGGTTTTTTAAATGTGTGGCATGAGTGGTTTGTTTCGCATGCTCTTCTAGTAGCTGATCAGATTTGATCCTTATGTCTAAATCATTTTATTTATTGTCTGTCGATGAAATTGACTTATGATGCTACACGTTTCATATTTCTGATGTGATCGTTTCACATCCGGTTTAGAGTTGCTTGTCTGTACTAATATTATAACTGGAAATAACTTGATCTTTATCAGGAGTGTGGATGTTCAAGTGTGGGTTTAGTTGGTTGATATCTAACTTTTTTGTTCTGTCTTGTTTGCCTTTTGTACTGCATTTACTGGACAATTGTGATCTTGTACTGTCCAGAGCTGACTTGATCTGTGCATGTCTTGTTTGTTGCAGGATGGGAAAGCCATTGGCATTAACACAATGAAAGTAACTACGGGAATCTCCTTTGCAATCCCAGCAGATTACGCTATCAAGTTTCTAAACAAGGCGGAGGCTTTAATGAAAACTGGTGAGCTTTTGAAAACTGGTGAGCTCATGAAAATGGCAAACTTTATTCTTAGTACATCATTCAGTGCATTCATTGTTAGTTGTTAACTCTCACTTTCAGAGGGTTTAAAATCAGAAAAGTTTAAAATATACCATACAAACAAATTATGATTGCATTAGTTTTAAAGAGGCAAAGAGCTGTACCATACAGTTAAACAGTTATAGTTTTGGAAACATTTTCGTCAGCTCCTCATGATAAAAATGTTTTCCACATTTCCTTTGAAGCAGATGCAGTTGTTTATATTTTATTGTAATTAAGTGATTGCCGCCTAGAAAAAGGTTTATAACATGTGCAAGTATTACATTTTTACCGTCTGAGCAATATATTTATTCGGCTAAGCATACAGGGACAAAATGTTGTTTAGTTATCGATACTGTTTATGTTGCGATATTGAAATGATTGGAGATTTTTACGTAACACATACACAGAAAAACTGAAAAAAAAGTGTTGAAAGGGGCTAAGCCAATACGTTTTGATTTGAGTAATTTGCCAAATGATAACAGATATGAGGTTGATAACAAATTTGAGGCGCTAATGGCAGTGCAGCAGGATATGACACCTGATGAGTTGGCTGATGAAACAAGAAACATCATCATCACATCAGCTCAGAAAATGATTCCTAAAAAACGACACAAGAAACAGATTTACATTACAGAAAAAAACTGTCAAGCTGATAGAAGAAAGAAGAAATTTAAAGCAAGTAGGGACAGTGGCTACATACGCATGTGAGTCGTGGATTATCTCTCAGTCCTTAAGAAAGAAAATAGGGGCTTTTGAGCTGAAATTCTATAGAAAGATTCAGAGAACATCTTGGACAAAGAAGAGAAATATTGACATCTTAAAAGATCTGAACATCAAGGAAGATTGGCTAATAAACAGCATCCTTTCTCGGAAGCTGAAATATTTTGGTCATATCAAGCGCCACGGCGGATTGGAAAAAAATTATAGCAGAAGTCATGGTACCAGGAAGGAGGGGCAGGGGCCGACCCACGCGAAGATGGGCACAGGATATAAGTGGCTCCTTGAGTATGAAAGAACATGAGTTGGGAGAACTGGCGAGAGACCGAGTTTCTCTCAGGCAGACTGTGATGAGAGCGACGTTCTGCAAAGGATCTGCTACGTGATGATGATGATGACATACGCAGATCAAATTAAATCTGTGATACGTATTTGTATTTATTTTTTAGGGGGTGTGGTGTATCTTCTGCTGCTGTTTGTTTACCTTGAAGACAAATGAGCTATATTTAACTCTTGTTCTGAGACTATAGTGGTACTCTCATTGTTCACTAGCATGTTGAAATTGAAATAACAGAATTAAAAATTTGTAACTTGATTTTAAGACTGTATAAATTCAGTTCCCTAAATTGGTTAAGTTTTGTATTTTTTAAAGCTTCTGTTGCTTTGATAAAGTGTATCACCTTATTTTTTTGCTTTGCCTTGACATTTAAAAGTTGCTGCTTCAATATGTAAACCGTGGCGCGGTGATTTAGGTCACAGGCGTGAGGGGAAGTTAAGTCCAACATGATGTGTATAAGGAGATACTCAGTACGTCACTCGGGCGCCAGTCCTTCACTGTTCTGGTTTTACGGAACCTCACGCAAAACCCCAGCAGCACGTCCTCGTCGTGCGCCACGGATAATGTCTCAAACGAGCATTAACAGAGCTGTCAGGGGATCTCGGAGTTAGGCGGCCCCCAGAGGTGATGTGTCCTTGTGGCTCTCATCAGCCCGCCCCCAAACGCTTGGGTAAAAAAGATTATCAAAACTCATTAGGAACATGAGTATGCTTGCCAAACGTACAGCTAAAAATCACAACCCTTGGTTAAAAGAATGCGGAGTGAAGAGAACATTGTTCACTGTACATCCTCTGTTAACTCTCAGTGTCGTCATCACCGCGCTGAGGTACACCACAACAGCAACCATCTCTAGGCTGGCCATCCATGTACATCCTCGGTTAACCCTTAGTGTCGTCGTCACCGCGCTGAGGTACACCAAAACAGCAACCATACATAGGCTGGCCAGCCATGTACATCCTCGTGTAACCCTTAGTGCCGTCGTCACCGCGCTGAGGTACACCACAACAGCAACAGCCCATTGGCTGGCTAAGCCTACATGTCCGACAAAACTAGATCCTATGGCACACGAGTGAGCTCAAAATCTGACCTCCACAATTTGTACTGAACGGAAAAAGACCAAATGTCCACACCCAAAGACCCCACTCGCCCGAGTGTTGGGACCAAACTGATAACGATATGCCTGACGCAGGATGTAAAATTCTGTCGGGCTAACGGCTCGTCAAAGAAATCTAACGTGCGAAGGAAAAAAGAATGTGCCTATTTGTGTGGTCACAAAAAGTCCAAAATCCACAGTCTGCTCCCCGCTGACTCTCAGAGGGCGCAGCTCTTGCAAGCGGGAAGCCTGATACGGTTGTGAGGTTAAGCAGGCATGTGCAGGACGTGACGATTCCTTGGGTGAGCCCAGAACCAGAGCACCATGTGCCGGCTCTGCATACATGGAAGCCTCCTTGGATGGCGGGGAATGCCCATGATCTGCCCCTGCCTTCCCTTGAGGGCTAACTGTTCCACAGGGGGCTGCCCCAAAGGGGTACTCCGGGGGCAATACCTGTGGAGAAGGAGACAAAGTGGACTCCACACAAATCAGGCAACGTCTTGACCCACACAAAACAATGGCCACAGTCAACCTAGAAATAGGCCTGACGTCTTCCTTCGAAGTCGGAGTACAGCTGCCCATGAGGCAGGGAACATTAAAACGGTTGTACAAGCAAAAATCAGGTCCGGGTGAAAGCCAAAAGTCCAAGCGGACGATTAACCGTGACCTTCCGCCGGAATTCACAGCTGGTGAACGCCAAAAAAAAAAAAAAAATATGTAAACCAATCTATTTAATTCTTTTTGTTTCTAGTGGGAATCTGCATAATCTAGTATTGATGTCTTAAGTATATTTGACCTTTCCTATCTGATTTTTAATCCAACCCCTGATACCACAACTTAGCAAATCATCTGCCTTTCTTTGCAACAACATCGTTGCAAAATCCAAATCTTGGAATTGTGTGCTTTCCACCTAGTTGATGCAAGCACCTTCTGCACAATATTTTGTCCATCTTTTTTTTTTTTTTTAACGTATCCAGAAACCATGAGTTGTAACCCTTTGGCTCGGTACTATGGATATCACAACCCTTCGGCCTTGATTCCATTATAGGTACCGTTAATCTGGGAGAAATGTGGCTTTTCTGCCTACCCCCGGGAGTGAACCCGGACCACAAGGAGTTCGTCACCCGGCCGCAGCGAAAGTCAGGTTTAACCAACTTCGCTAGAGAGCTGGGCATTGTCCATCTTCAGAATTTTTGTTATTGAAATTTCAGTTGTCAAGATCATTTTAAGATGTGCTTGTGTTTGTCAAACTGTTTTCAGGTCAGACAGAAAATGGTTTTCTCAAGCGGAGGTATATGGGTATCACTATGCTAACCTTGACAGAAAATGTGATGCGTGACCTGAAGAATAACATAAAAATGCCTAACTTCCCTGACATTGATGGAGGTGTTTTTGTTTACAAAGTCATTCCTGGATCTCCTGCATTCATGTAAGTTGATTGTTGATAGATGTCAGTAAGTTGGTTAATAGATGTCGGTAAGTTGATAGATGTCAGTAAGTTGATAGATGTCAGTAAGTTGATAGATGTCAGTAAGTTGATAGATGTCAGTAAGTTGATAGATGTCAGTAAGTTGGTTAATAGATGTCAGTAAGTTGGTTAATAGATGTCGGTAAGTTGATAGATGTCAGTAAGTTGGTAGATAGATGTAAGTTGGTTGATAGATGTCAGTGAGTTGGTTGTTGGTGATGTCAGTAAGTTTGTGTGTAGGGAAATTAGTTTTTATTGCTAGGGAAATTAGTTTTTATTGCACACTAATATTGTTTCTACATTTAAAAACAGTTTTTTGTTACTGGTTGATGTTAAAAACATATGTAAAAAAAAAATAATAGATGTAAAATGGGATGCCTAAGAAAAGCCGCCAACTTAATTATCTGAGACACAGTTAGAAATGACAGCTGACAGACTGTGGGGACAACACCATGCAGTAGAATTCATTGAGAAACAGAAGATCAGATGGTTTGGTCATAAAGTAAGAATGCAGCCACAACAAATACCAATGCAGACACTACACATAAAAAGATCTGATGTGAAAGCAAGAGGTCACAGTAAAAGAATATGAATTCTTCTTCTTCTGCCTTTCTATCCCCCAATGGAGCATAGGCCCTCAACCAACTCACGCCAAGTCGTTCTATCCTTCGCCATTGCATGGAGCTCTCCCCATGTCCTCCCAATCTTTCTAACCTCGTTCTCCAACTCTCTTCTCCATGTGTTTTTTGGCCTTCCTTTATTCCTATGCCCCTGTGGGTTCCAATGCAAAGACATTCTAGTAATGCTGTTCTCCTGTTTTCTCAGTGTGTGCCCTATCCAACGCCAGCGTCTTTTCCTCACTTCCTGATCCACTGGAGCCTGTTTAGTTCTCTCCCAAAGTTCTACATTAGTTATTCTATTATACCATTTTATTCCCTCTATTCTGCGCAGGCACCAGTTAATGAATGTCTGTAATTTATTAGTAATTGCCTTGGTTGGAATATGAATTATGACATTAATTAATGAGCTGCTACATCAACATAGAATGACAATAGCCAGCACTGCCATATCAAGCAATGGATCACAAACTGTGCCTCCTAACGACGCTTAATGGCAGAATGGAAATTGAGGATGACAGTATCAGTGAATTATCCATATTTATAGCTCTGCCTAAGAAACCGGGCACTATAAAATGTGAAGACCATTGCACAATAAGTCTTATGAGTCATTTGACTAAGATTTTACTGAGAATAATTATGAGAAGAATAAGAAACAAAATTAAACCAGAAAGCAGCGATGAACAATGTGGATTTGTAGAAGGAAAAGGTACAAACAATGCCATATACATCCTAAGGATATTGTCAGAAAGAGCTATAGAAGTAAAGACCGATTTGTACATATGCTTCATAGACTATACAAAAGCATTTGACTTTGTGAAGCATGAAGAAGTAATCAAACTGTTAGACAAATTAAACATTGATGGGAAAGATTTACGAATAATAAAGAATATGTATTGGCAGCAAACAGCAGCTATAAAAATTAACAACTGTTTAGGTACATTTCAAAGCATAAAGACAAGGATGTGTACTGTCACCTGATTTGTTTTCAATATACAGTGAATATATAATGAGATTTAATTGGTATGCCTGGAATTGTGGTTGGTGGGCACAATATAAACAATTTACGTTATGCTGATGACACAGTCTTGATAGCAACTAGTCAGAAAGAACTACAGGAAATGATAGACATTGCAGTGTTAGAAAGTGGAAGAATGGGCCTCAGTTTGAATAATGGGAAGACAGAAGTAATGGTGGTATCAAAGAAACGAATTATTCCTAAGTGTGTAATAAAAGTTGATGGTGTTATTTTAGGACAAGTACAAAAATTTAAGTATCTGGGCACATGGATAACATCAAATAGAAGATGCATAACTGAGATAAGAAACAGAATAGGACAGGCAAAAACTGCATTTTATAAAATGAAAAACATCTTGTGCAATATATCCTTGCCATTGAGAGTTAGAAAAAGAATTCTTGCTTGCTACATACATCCAGTTTTGACATATGGCTGTGAATCCTGGACAATCGGTAGGTAGGCCAAACAATTTCTGGAGGCCTCGGAGATGTGGTTTTACAGAAGAATGCTTAGAATACCTTGGACAGCCAAAAAGAGCAACCAAGAGGTTTTGAAAGAGGCGGGAGCCCGAAGACAACTTTTCACAGACATCAGAGGGAGACAGTCATCATTTTTCGGCCATGTTATGAGAAGAGGGAAAATAGAACATGTTGTGACCACTGGAAAGATATGTGGAAGGAGAGATAGAGGAAGACAACGAGAGAAGATGCTTGACAGTCTTGTTGCATGGCATGGAGGTGTGTCGGCACACGAACTGATACATGCTGCAGGAGATCGCAGATTATGGAGAGGCATGATGGCCCTTGCCAGTCGGCAAGGCACTTGATGATGATGATGATATCAGTGAATTTACGTGTTTGTTATGCCCTTTTCTTAACAAGCATGTTGTAAAATATGACTTGGTTTATATTACAACCGCTATTATTTTTGATTTCCAACTGCCACGACTAATTAAGGGTTTCTTCTCTTCTTCTGCCTTTATAGCCCCCAATGGAGCATAGGCGCTCAACCAACTCACGTCAAGTTGTTCTATCTTTTTCTATCGCACGCAGCTCTCCCCATCTCCTTCCCATCTTTCTCAGCTGTAACTTTATTTTCTGTATTTTTTTTTTTATTGGCTATCTAGTCGGCATCTGTGGTTTAGGCGATGCAAACACGCTTCATAATGCTAAGTTTGATCCCAGCTGTGGACGATTTGTCTTGCTTGGTTCTGACAGTGGTACAGAGAGCTGACAAAGCAGTGGCAAACTACTGAACGTAAATTTTGTCTAGAAAAAAAAACAGTCAAAAAATGCTGGGGTTGGTTCTGCAACATCCTGTAAAGGATACACAACTATCTAGTTATTTTAAGTTTTTTGCTACACTTTTTATATTACAGCGGCGGAGTTCAGGCTGGAGATATAATCGTCAGCATCGGTAGTACGGCAGTCAAGTCAGCTGCTGATGTGTACGATGCTGTAGAAAAAGCTGACAACCTGGAGGTTACAGTTATACGGGGCAGCAAGAAGGAGGTCATTAAGGTCAACACTCAAGAAACAATTTAGTCTTGTACTCAGCCATGGATTGATTGTGATACACACACATACATACTAGCTGCTAGATAGTGTGAGAAGCTTTATCTGTGGGAAATAGTTTCTGTAATAGGTTTGATAATGTTGCCATGCTGTGATCGCCTTTGTTTAACATGCTCTTTCAGTGCCTGTGATATCTTTGTCATATTGTATCAGTAATAGACGTAAAAATGTGGGGGGTAAAAGTTCACACTGTTGGCATTAGACTACATGTCGCTAAGAGTGGACATACATAGATTGTCAAGTAAAGGTAAAGCTCCCTCTGCACACCAGTGGTGCAATGGACACACAAGGCTAGACTGATGTGTGTTTGGATCGTCACCTTGATGGGTGATGTGTTCAATATCACACCTGCCACATTTACTTCCCATGACTCTGCATGGTCCCCATAGGCTGGATTGACCTGGGAGCCAAGGTCATGTTTGAGAAACAATTAGGCTGTGTGAAGATTTGATCCCACTGCTTTTGAATCTGCAGGTGAGCTTCTGGCCGCTACACAACAGTGGCTGCCACATAGATCATATTCAGTTAAAAAAAACTGCTTGCATGTGTGAAATAATAGTTTGTATATAACATATAAAATGTTGGCCTGTAGTTTGAGATTTGTGATTGTAATGCTGTTATTTAATTATTGTTTTTTTTTTTAAATAGATCTCATCGAAAATAAATAGGCTAATTTTGCAGAATAGTTTAAGATATAAATTGCATGACATAGATTGGTTGCCATTTTGCTAACATCAAACTGCTATTAAGGCATAAATAGAAGGAGTCGGTTCCTATAAGGAGTTTGAATAACTGGCGTTGATCTTTATCGAACACCACCACCTAGATGAAGGGGGAGGTTGATATCCAAAAAAAAAACACATCAAAAAATGCAAATGTTTTCTGTTCTTTGCTTGCTGTTTACAAACTGTAAAAATCTTGCCTGGAAACCAACAAATAAATTCCTTTTCCAAACTCCATTTCTTTTGATGTTTGAAAATTAGTTTTTACCAGTGTCTCTGTTTATCTTAAGGTGTTATATCAAGTGCAAGAAATATGCATTTTTTGTTAAAAGCGTTTATTTAAGATTTCTCTGTGGCCAAGTCGATGTGAAAGCTTCACAATGCCGGGTTTGATCCCAGCTGCGGGCCATGCTCCTTGTTTTGGTTTTGACAATGGTATCAAGAAAGCTGACCGTACAGAAAGCAATGGCAAACTACTGGATGTAAATTTGCCTAGAAAAACCACACAACAGCCAGGGGCTGTTGGGGGTGGCTCTGCAACGTCCTGTAAAGAAAACGCAACTAACCTATTTAAGGTGTATATGATGCTTCATTTATGTTGATGTAATTTTATAGTATAATGCAGAAAGTTCTAGTTGGGCGCTTTTTCTGCTTCCCCAAAATGGCTTTGCCAGATTCTGGCCATTATCCAAAAATATCCGAATTTGAGCGTATATCTAAAATACGGACTTTCGCAACATCAATCGCGGCTGTCCTTTTGTGTATATATACATTTGTTGTACTTCCTTTGACAAAAATTTCGAGCGTTTCTGCAGACGACGATACTTCTGTTCCTTTGTTTTTCTATACGAGCAGACGATGCGATTACATACTGTGTTCTTCCGATTGCAGGATTTCCTAGAGAAGGACTTGTCGGCATGCGCCAAACGCGATTAAAATCATAGGAGAGCGTATCTAGGTGCCTGGGACTCACGAGTACAGTAATGGAGGAAGTTGCAGGAGATGCGGTAGCTGCCACTCGTGAGTCCCAGGCCATCTAGTTTAGCCCCCACCAGGGGATACAACTGAATACTCGCAGAAGAGGTCGGCAAGCAACGTATCGCTGGACCCTGTCAGGCATTTGTTTCGTTATTCGGAGCCGGCACATATATTTTAATTAGAATTGCCCGCACTCGGATAGGTGGAAAACAGAAAGTGGAGGAACGCCAGTAGCGCCATTTTACGATTCATAAAAGCGCACTAGTCTGCTTCCGGACTTTGGTCTTGTTCCTGAATTTGAGTTCTGAGTGCACATCACTTCTGTTCTTTTGTGTATATTATAGTTGTTTCCAGTGTACTTCTGTGTTTTTCTATACGAGCAGACGCGATACATTGGGCACATCCTGAGAAGGAGCGAGCCAAAAATCACTAGTCTTGGAAAAGGGGTAAACGAGGGGATGAATGCCTACTGATAAGAAGGCCAAAGATGTCACATCTCCACTATTAAAAGGGGCTTTGAAAAATTTGGGAGGAATAAGTCGCAGGGTGCGTGACATAAAAGCACTAGTGGATGGTGATGATAATACACAAAGTGTGGATTAATTTGTTTGCTCCTAAAAAAGCATGTAAAGTCTACTAATTGGGGCTTTGCTAAATTTGGATTTGTTAGGTCGAAGGGTGGATATTTGTTTTCCAAAGTATGCAGACTGAGCTAAGATATTCCTAGACAGTTTAATGACTGTGACTTTGATCATTTTTATGAACTACCATCAAAAACATCATTGAAACTGGCAGACGTTTCATTTAAAGTAGTGGTATGGCAGTCAGATGTAGGTGTGCTATGTTAAATTAGTGTAAACTGTATAAACCTATGCGCTTCAGGGGTAGATTATTAGATGCCCCTGTTAGTGTAGATTGTATACATAACAGCTCTGTGGCTTAAGGTTAGTGAAAATCGTTTCAGACATTTTACCAGGGTGCAATTCCCACGATGTGAGTTTTGAGAAAAAGATAGTTTTTATGGCCCTCTCTTTAGTTTGACAGTTCAGTCATACTGTAACAGAAGTTCTTGGTGCAAACAGCCACTGAATTTAAAGAATTTTATTTAGTTAGGCAGAGCTCTCATCCAGGATATTTTTGCACCAGTGTACAGCCACATGATGATGATGATAATGTACAAGATTATACACTTCCCCACAGGAATTTCCACGCACAAAATCCTTTACTTAAAAAAAAAATTGTGAGCAGAAAATTAATAAATTGTTTAAAAATACATATAACTTTTCAACATTTCTGTTTTAAAATATATAAAGGGAATAATCAATAAACAGGAACAGAGTCGGGACATTAAACAGAATGCATTCTCCTGGGTCTAAAACAAATATACCATGGACCCCCCATTAATGAGACTACTTTCCTTCCTCTTCAAGTGTCCAGGGTGATACAAGGTTCTGCTTCTTGTTCTTTTGGCCACCTCAACCATAGTCACGTCGTTATTAACAAAGTGCCTTCCACTTACAAGTTTTGGACGAGCGAAAAAAATAAAAAAAAAAAAAAAGGGAAAACTCTAGTAATTAAAAACTGCGGACTTAAGGTGACAAAATTTTAGAAATGGGAAGAGATCAAGACTGGCCAGCAGACCAGTGATAGTGACTTATGAGAATGTCTTAGGTAGTTTAATGGTGTAAGGATGAAAAATCATTTTGGAAATATTCCAGGCACACACTGAGGTTAACTTGCCGACCTTAGGTTTGAATTTGCATGGAGTTGAGTTTTTGGATTGACATTTGCTGCCAGATCAACCCAGCAGGGGAAGTAAAGGCAGCCAGTATGATGATGACCACACCACCTACTGAGTGTCAATTGGCCAGGACATCCTAGTGTCGTGACAGTTTGCCATTAAAAGGATCCTTTACTACTTACAGGTACACTTTCGAAGTGGCCACAGCACTCTGACTAAAAGAAAACAGATCCTGCCCGAGACTGAAAAATGTGTGGGAATAAAAATAAGCCAAAGAGTTCATTAATTTGGTTACTAAAATTTATTTATTCTTAAATCATTCTTGCACTGGATACACACATACATTATGTCACAATACAAGAATGTGTTGATGTATACACACACAGGTGAATACAAACATACATTTTGTCATATTACGAGAATGCTAACAACACGGTAAAATCAGTACAATTTAGTTTTGTATAAGGTTCCTCAAAAACTAAACTGCACAATCTGTAAAGTGGACTCTTACAAGCAGCTGTGTACACTTGAAACTACAAGAATTAAACAGAAAAATAAAAACAAAAAGAATACAAGCTTTTACCACAAAAAGCCTACAAAGAAACCTGTTCAAACATGTTTCTAATCGCCTCTTCCAATAAACTGAAACTGCCAGGGTGGACATGTGTTTATGAGCTCTGGAACCCAGCCAAAAAAGTGGTCACCACCTGCTTCAACTTTTCATCAGCCTGTTCATTGATTTTGCCCTCCTTGGCAATGGTTTTGAGGAGCTCCTGCTGGGAGCTGCGCAGGTGCTTCAGGAACTCTGCCTCGAACTGGGTGATTCTGGATGGGTCGAGTTTGTCCAGGTATCCACGCACACCAGAGTAGATGACACACACTTGCTCTTCAATGGCCATTGGTACTGAGGAATAGAACCGCACAATGTTTATTCCAAACCAAATGTTTGGCTGATGGTCGGCATTCAAATAATCTTATTCAAAGTTCCACGAAACTATACTGGGAAGGCTATCCTGCAGAAGTCAGGAGTTGGCCAAAAGCAGCAAATATCGCAGCCATTTTGAAATGGGTACAGTGCATATACATCTTGACGAGTGCAGCAGAAACAATACTGAAACTAGCATGATGCTCCCGAGACTATTCTTAATTCTTTTGTTAAATCTTTTACTGATCTGGGTCTCAAGGGAAGACAAGATTCTGGTTCCTGCTCTTCAGGTTACCTTGACCATAGACACTTCATACTGTATTCTTCCATCTTACCTCATGATAGTTCTTTCAAAGTAAGTGAATCTATTATCAAAATTTGCTTCTTAGCATTCATCGGCTGTAAACCACTGTCTTAACCAAGATGTGCAGACACACACACAACCCCCCCCCCCCTCCCCCATATTTCATACTATGAACACCTTATGATTTATAGACATTAGAATCAGTGGAGATTTCTGGTTCGTCCAGTTCAGTCTATCCATTTTACAGATCTAGCTTAACTGTATGCTGACGTTTAGTTCCTTGCCTCTCAGACAGGCGCATTTCGACTTCAAAGAAAAGACTCACAACTGGGGCCCCAGAACCTACAGGGAATCCAAATTTCCAATTATGTAAGCTTTCCGCTAGTAGCCTGGCCTTGGAAAGCTTAGTGTTCAGAAGTTTCACCACGTGGTCTCAGAAATGTTACTACATGTCTTAGAGGTTTCACTACGTGGTCTGCACAAACATGAAAGATTTGACACTCACCATATTGGCCTTGTTTGAGGATCTCCGTTAGACGAACACCTCTCCTCAGCAAGTTCTGGGTAGCCTGGTCCAAGTCAGAACCAAACTGTGCAAAGGCAGCCACCTCACGGTACTGAGCCAACTCTAGCTTCATGGAGCCAGCAACCTGCATACATGGAATGAAGTAACACATTTGTACAGGTGTACATTTTGGACCATCCAAGTTCAATGCTAAAGAACTGCACAAAACTTACTTTGTTCACCAACCACAATTTTTTAGGGAAAGTTTTGATGTACATCCATTGTTTTAAATCCAGAACTTTTGTGTGCTTTTTTATCAATGACTGGGTTTTTCAGTGTAACGCAAATTTAGGCATTACGACATTTTGTGCAGACTAGTTGGTTCAGAACACACAGACGCCAAGAAAAAAATCACCTCAGATGCACTTCGACATAGAACCTGTTCCAGGTCCTAAGTATTGCGTGTGCATCCGTTTTACAGATCTGGCTCATTTGTATGCAGACTGCTGGTTCCTTGCCTCTCAGGCAGATGCACTCTGACATTGAAGGAAGCTCCAAAACAGTCGACTCTTACGGCATGCTTTTGGGTAGGCAGTGGGTATGTTCTTGTTTTCCCTATAATAGGGCACAGGAACCCACATGGGGAACATCAAGATTAATCTAGATTTACAAATAAAAGATGCCACTAACAAAATGGTAAAACAATGCTAGAGAAATTGCTGGCCAAATGGTTAGTAAGGCCGCAGACCCATGTAGAAGTCCCAGGTTGGATACACGGTAAGGAATGGAGCTATTTTTTTGCCAGGGACAAAAATGAAAATCCCTAACTTGCAGTTCAAGGCGACCGTACATGCAGCATTAAATCTTCAAGCAAATGGCATGAGTATTTATGTATCTTTTACAGAAATCTGGTCATTTCATAGTTTGTCTGGATCAGTTCTTTTGTTCCCACATTCCATGGTCCTTGACCAGTGGTTTCCAATTAGCAAAGACATGCAAAACCTTCTTATTTCTGATGACCTGTCATGACTCCATATTTTAAACAGATACAGAACTGAAGGACTTATAATTTAAAATTGTTAGGCTTGCAGAAAAAAAACACATTAAAAAAAAAAGCTCTCCAAATCACAAAGTGGCTTCTTATTTCTGATGACCTGTCATGACTCCATATTTTAAACAGTCATCCAGAACTGAAGGACTTATAATTTAAAATTATTAGGCTTGCAGAAAAAAAACAAAAAAAAAAGCTCTCCAAATCACAAAGTGGGAAATACTGTCTTAGAAAATTCACAAACCATTTCTCTCATCTCTGCTACAGCTGACCGTTCTAAACATGTTATTTTCTATTGCTGTTATCACAGGATCATAGAAAACAGTTTTGTATCAACTAGTGCCTTGCAGACTGACACAGGCGATCATGCCTCTCCATAATCTGTGATCTCTAATACCATATATCATTCCGGTTGTGACACCCCTAGATGATATGACAATGACAAAAGCTGTAAAGGATAGCATCACGCCGTCTTCCTCTGATCTTTTCCGCAGTCACAACATGTTCCAGTATCCTTCTCATAATATGATGAAAAAAAAACTTGTCTCTTTCTTCATGTCTGAGGTAAACCGTATTTGAGCCCTAGCCTTTTTCAAAACATTATTGTGTTTTCTTTCTCCAAGTAATACTAAGGATTCTTCTGTAAAACCACATCTCAGAGGCCCCAAGAAAGTATTTAGCAAATGACTGTCCAAGTATTTACAAAATGTCTAGCCATGAATTTAAAAGTCAGCTAACCTGCTTCATGGACCGTGTCTGAGCTGCAGACCCCACACGACTGACGGACAGACCAACGTTGATGGCTGGTCGAATGCCCTTGAAAAACAACTCAGTTTCCAAGAAGATCTGACCATCTGTGATTGAAATGACATTGGTGGGGATGTAAGCAGACACATCACCAGCCTGAGTCTCAATGACTGGCAGAGCTGTGAGTGAGCCACCTCCATGGGTGTCATTCATCTTAGCAGCTCTCTCCAGCAGACGAGAGTGGAGGTAGAAGACATCACCAGGGTAGGCTTCACGACCTGGAGGACGGCGCAACAGCAGTGACATCTGGCGGTATGCTACGGCCTGTAAGTATGAACAGAGACCAAGTTAGCATTAAGAAATTAGGGGGTTAAAAATAATTCTAAATGTTTTGCCAATGTGAATATAACAAATGAGGGTTAAAAAAATAGTTTATGCCCATCATAGCTCTAAATTATATAGTTTTAAAATTCTCTTCTTCAGCATTTGAGGTTTATTGCTGCAGATTTCATCCGCACCCATTCATCTCTGTGATTAGTCCTCTTTCCAGTTGGTGACTCCAAGTGTTTGCAGATCTGCCTGTATATTATTTTCAGTCTTCTTGATCTGCCCCATGGTCTAGGACCATTGAACTCCCTTGTGTACACAGTTCTGTAATCTGACACTGTCTTAAAATGCCCCAATGGTATTTATGAATTTTGTTGCAACTTCTCACTCTCCACTCTATGCATCTTGAAGTTTCCAAAGACTTACTGTAATTTTTTTTTTCAAGTCTAATATTTCAACATATTCTAGTAAAAGGTGAATCACGAGAGACAAGGAACGAAAGTTACATGCATTAGAAAACAATAGCGTCAGAGAATTGAAAATCAAAATAGGATGAGCTCAATGGAATGAACGCAAGTGAACAGAAATGTCTGGAAACAAAAGAGGGGGATTTAACTAGACACATCTTAAGCAGCAGTCAGATCACCAAACAGGTACTAAAAAATAGAAACAACTGGACTGTAAAAAACCAGGACACATAAAAACCTTTAAGATGAATGCTGATGAGAGACAAAGACGCCAGATTCCATCCATTTCGATGTCATAACATAACCATATCTCACCTGGTGCATCACAATGCAGAGAAAAATAAATGCTAAAAATACACAGAAATAAACAAAGGTTTGAGATTGCCTAAAAATTAGCAAATATCACAAAAGGTGTCTTCAATTAATATACTAGAACTTAGCGTTCTTACACAGACTAACCTGTTTGGACAAGTCATCGTAAATGATCAAGGCATGCATGCCATTGTCACGGAAAAACTCTCCCATGGCACAACCAGAGTAGGGAGCCAGATACTGTAGTGGGGCAGCATCAGATGCAGTAGCAGACACAACGATGGTGTACTTAATGGCATCTGCAATATTATAAGAGAAAATAAAAACTATCAGCGTTAGCAATAAAACATTAAATGGTATACCTATGTACTGTGAATTTTTTCGTTTTTTAAAAACTTTACCTGTGGAGGTAAGAAATTTCAACTTTTTGTTTTCCTGGGTACCACATCTAATAAAGTTTAATATCAGAACTTAGGAGTAATAGTTTTGCCAGACTAAAACAAGGCATTTAAATGAGAGGTCAACTTTACGTGGAAAGGTTTTATACCCTCTAGCATGGGTTTCATCTGTAGTATGGCTGGCCACCTGGCTTGAGCAAAACAAAAAGAAAAACACCTGTATGTCTTGAGACTATATCCAGGACCTCCCAAAACTGCCCATGTGAATCAGTGACTAAATCAAACCATAACCTGTGCCAGTTTGAAGCAGACTGTCCAGGCTGTAGTCTAGTAATATAATCACAATCAATGTATAAAATAATTAGTTAAATACAACATCCATTTAAACCAGCTGTTATCTAGATAAATATTTATACCAAGTAATGAAAATGATTTGCTTAATTGCTCTTAAGTGCCACCTGAAATCTAGACTGCCAGACATAATGGGTGAAAGGGGGTTGAAAGTACTGCACCAGGAATTTTTTATTTGTTAAACATGTTAACTGCCTTGTTGACATTTGTCTAATTCTGTTCTCAACCCGTGGGTCATGACCTGTCTGGGGGGTAGGTAGAAGACAATCAGAAAACATATTCATTGAAATTATTAAGTAGCAATGAAAATAATTTCACAGTTGGGGGTCACGGCACTAGGAAGGAGACCAGGAGAAGGAGAACCACAAACAGTCAAGTTATAGTGAAAACCTACTGACCAGCATCAGTGAGCCTCTTCACAAGCTGGGCAACAGTTGATCTCTTCTGTCCAATGGCAACATAGATGCAGAAGAGCTTCTTCTTATCCTCACCACCTTCGTTGAATCGTTTCTGGTTAATGATGGTGTCAATGGCGATGGCGGTTTTGCTGTAGACATGCATCATTATTTACCATTACACATTTGCTATAACCTCAGGTCAAATATATGGGGACAGCAAAGCTTTCTTTTCTGGGTACACCCAGAATCCTAAGTCAATCTAAAAGTTGCTGCACACTTTAGATTCAAGACCAAGACTGATGGGCTAAGAGTCAAAAAGAGAACGAATATATAATAATGTGATGTTATACCAACTTCTAGACTGATACAAAAACTCTGGCATGGAGCAATATCAGTGGCGTTGTTTCAAATACCAAGGACCAAGATCTGTGAAGAGACAGGAGTGTCTATGCCACCTGGCTGGGCACATGATGATATAAATTCCAGTAGAAAAAAGTATTTCCATCGCAAAACTACATTCTTACTTCACTAGCAACCTAGATAAATATTTATACCTATTTATACCAAGTAATGAAAACGATTTGCTTAATTGCTCTTTAAGTGCCACCTGAAGTATAGACTGCCAGACATAATGGGTGAAAGGGGGCTGAAAGTACTACAACAGGAAGTTATTTGTTAAACATGTTAAGTGCCTTGTTGACATCTTTTAATTCCCCCAATTTGACACCCCCCCCCCCCCCCCCCCCATGCCTAATCACTCACACAGAATGTTTTATATGCAACCAATTTAAACTACATTTAAAATTGTAAACTCTGAGGAAAAATTTACATTAATAGTTCCTTTTAATTCGTGGAGCAGACCTTTTTACTTTCTAAAAATGACCGTCACTTCCAGCTCCCAAGTCAACCTAAGCTTTAAATAGGTTATCAGGTAAAGTTCTGGGAAGCAACTTCTGGGAAGTCAAGATGGCTGGCATGATGACCACATCGGCCATAGAATGAAGATTATAAAATATAAAGTTAGTTGCGTATTCTTGGCAGGATGTTGCCAAACCAACCTTAGACAGCAATTACTTGCTGCTGCTGTTATTATTTCCAGGCAAATTTACGTTCAGTTTTCCCGCTGCTTTTCTGAACGGCCAACTCTCAGTACCACTGTGGAAACCAACACAAGTCAGTCTGCAGCTGGGATCGAACCTGGCACCATTAATCACGCTCACAATGTCTAAGCCAAAGCTGGTGATTATATGAAATACAGGTCTAGCAATATATGCCCTATACACCCAAAGGTATGGAAAAGGGTCCTTTAGACTCCACCTTTACACTCCTTTTTCATTTAAGTGTAAAAGGCTTCTCAGCTGATTGTAAGGGCACAGTCTGACCAGTTTTCACATGTTATAGTAAACAGTAACTAAAATCACTACAAGCTTTCAATGGCTATGGACCTTTCTAAACCAAAAATGAAGAAAGTACCTACCCAGTCTGCCTGTCACCAATGATCAGCTCACGCTGTCCTCTGCCAATGGGCACCAGACTGTCCACAGCCTTAATACCTGTCTGCATGGGCTCTTTAACTGATGTTCGAGGGATGATACCTGGTGCTTTGACACCCACACGGGCTCTGATTTTTGTACCTAAAGGGCCCTGCAATGCATTGAAATTACATACCAATTTAATTATACAGTAAAACCTCATTAACACTCTTCTTCAGGAATCTCTGGTCATGTGCTTAATGTGCTGTGGGTCATAAAAAGGGATGTCATCTCAAGGTCTCTGAGCCCCCCCCCCCCCAGATTAGTTGCCAGGGCGACTTGACGTGGTCACAAATACTCGGCTTACATAAACAAAAGTTAGATCCGAGCAGGAATGTACATGCATTTTTACAGTGTACTAGTAGCTGGCAGGGTTCATTGTCAAATTTACCAACCAATTTCAAGGCTTTTCAAGGTCTCTTTAGTTTTTTTCAAGGTTGTCACGGGGGTACTACTTAACATTCTTAGTGCACTCATGGTGTGCTATTAATACATATATAAATGCATGCATGAACTAACAGGAAGATATTTAACATAAACACAAAAATAATGTTGAAAACTCACCACAATAATGTACGCTTGCTAATTTTTCATATGTATTCTTGCCTTCATAGACACATGAGAAAAATGAAAGTTGAACTACACAAATAAATATAACCTCACATCAAATCACGAGCTGAATCACTTGAAAAAAAATATTTACACAGTCCATTATATACTTAATCACTGAATCTGTTTTTTGACAATCTGTTTGTCAACAATTTTAATTAAATCTTCCTTGTCTCTGTCTTCCTTAAACTGTTTGAAACAGAAATAAGGGAGATGTTGCGCTGTTGTTCAGCCTGCAAAGCATTTTCATCAGCAGCATCAGTGATGGTTTTAACATCTTTTTCTAAAGCAAGTTTTCGTCTTATTAGCATCTGCAGTTCACTTTCAAATAATTTTTGTTTATTGCTTTTTTTGTGTTGTTCAGTCTTCTCCTTCTGACTGTCTAAATACAACATATATCACTGCTAGCACTGGTTAACATCTTTGGTGTTATCTCAATGTTGTCTACCCCACCCTGATTTCTTATATGATCAACTATTGCTCTTCGTGATATTAGAGTTCTTTCAGCCATGTTATATTCTTCCATTTCTTTATTTACCGAAAACCTCCTTTCAACAGTTGCTTGTCCATGGGACAACATTAATAACATTTGAACAACACTCCAAACATTTTGAAACTCATTTCTGCCTGATAGGTCATGGTAAAATGAATCAAGTCTGTACGTTTCCCTTGAAAAAGCAGACAGTGATCCATTGGCTGCCAACTGCTCAATAAATGTAACCCATTCAGAAATAACAGCTTCACATTCTGCATTAAATTTCCTTTTACTGAAACAAAGCTTGCATTTTGCTGATGTTTGGGCTGAGACAAGTTCCCAGCAGTTATCCACTTTTTGTAAAGCATTGCAGATTTTCCCCACTGACTTCAAGTCTATGTCTTTTTTACATAGCTTGCATTTTGCGTGATGTTCGCTGATCCCCGCAGTATCCAATTTTTAAAGTCAGGGATGAAGTAACCATCCGAGCTAAAACGACATCCAGGCATTGCAATGTAGGCTGTAGAGCAAAAAAGAGATCAATTGCCCGCTCAACGTTTACCGGAAACGATCGTGAACATTCGAAAACGAAAGTTGCTGAAACTAGCCAAATCGTCAGGAAAAAAAGCCGAACTGACGAAAACCGCAGGACTTCCGACGATCTCATTGCGGCGGTCAAAATTGACGGCTTTTTAATGTCGGAATGTCTTTTATAAGCTAAAAATCACTGTTCAAGGTCAACGAAAAAATCACTGTTCAAGGTCAACGAAAAAATCACAGTAATTTCCCGGTCCACCACAAACCCTGAGCTGGTTATCATGAATTTGTTAAACATGAACACTTGATTTTTCGGTCCCTTGGAGTTAAAGCTAACAACGTTTTGCTGAATAATAAAATTCAACGTTACAAAACTATTAGTGTGTAATTTAATTAATTCATTACTTTTTAAACTGACAAAAACATCAAATTTTTCAATGTACCTTTGCATCAATGGGGTTTCCCAAAGCATCCACAACTCTTCCAAGCAGTTCCATTCCTACAGGGACATCCACGATGGCACCAGTTCGCTTGACAATATCTCCTTCTTTGATGAGTCTGTCATTACCAAAGACTACCACACCGACATTGTCGGGCTCCAGATTCAAGGCCATGCCCTGAAACAGCAAATGTGTAAGTTTATCAACAAGGTTTTCATTCTGTCAAGTTTTCTAGTGAGAAAACTGAATTCAAACAAATAGTTACAGAAAAATAATGATATAGAAATCATGACAATAATTCCTTTCCAAAGTAAACGCTTATTCCGCAATGTTTCTGCACACCTGTTACAATTTATACTCGCGAGTGAGCACAATGATAAGCTTCTGATCACTGGTAGCAGTATTCGTGTAAATAATGTGTTCTCTAATTTCTGGAGTAATGAAGATATTTGGGTGAAATATCCAAAGAAGACTTCTGTCTCTTGTGCTCTCGATGGGGGAAGTTTATAGAACAGGTATTTAGAAATCCTGAAAAATTCTGATGAACAGTTAAAGAATCTGCCAAATCCAAAGCTAAGCTAGTAACAGAAACATCCTGCACATGCTAAGGACAACCATAAATTCTTGGTATGCAAGTGCACTACTCATGGCTGTGAGGTTTTGTTTTTTGAAGAAAAAAAAAACGCAGACTTAGTTGAATAATGTTACATGTTGGACAGACAAATACCCAGGTAAAGACCTACCTTAAGGCCACTGGAGAACTCCACCATCTCCTCTGCCTGGATGTTCTTCAAGCCATAGACACGGGCAATGCCATCACCAATAGACAACACACGTCCAGTCTCTTCCAAGTTGACATCAGATGACTGACCTAGAATCCTTTCCTCCAATATGGATGAAACCTCTGCACCACTGGGACCTGAATAAGATATTCTTTGAATCAGAATATTGCATTTGGTGGAAGATAGAAGAAGACTAGTGCATTCAAAACGTCTAAATTATTTTAAAAAGGCAAAAATGCAATAAAAAGTGTAGCTATCTATGGCAAATGTTTTTGCACCATAGTTAAAAGACTAATGTCAAAGATGGTAAGCAATTATTTTATCATGCATTAAATGTAAAAACAAACCATTTTTTTTTTGGGGGGGGGGGGGGGGGGGGGACTTTAATTACTGAAAATTCGGCATTATGAGTATGATATTGGAGGAAAGGATTCTAGAAATACACTTTATGGAGAAACAAAAAAAGTCTGAATGTTCATAGGAAAAAAAAAATTTATAATTTGTAAGTTCTTCAAATGGAAGATATACTAGCAAAATTGTTCTGAACTTTTTGTTTCTTCATAAAGTGTATTTCTATTTTTCATGCTATTTCTTGACACTGCATCAATAAAATAAGTACACACACACACAAATATATACATATATATATATATACATATATATATATATACACATATATATATATATATATACATATATATATACATATACATATACATATATATATACATATATATATACATATATATATATACATATATATATACATATATATATATACATATATATATACATATATATATATACATATATATATATACATATATATATACATATATATATATATATACATATATATATATACATATATATATATACACATATATATATACATATATACATATATATATAATATACACATATATATATATATATATATATATATATATATATACATAAAACCACATATATTAGAAAACTTAAAAACATTACCTGCAGCAAAGGTCGCTGGTGTGAATGAAATATGCCTTGCAGATACACATCCTGCAGCCAGTGCATTTTGGCATACCTAAGACAATGAAACATTTTTAGTTAGATGCTTTTAGTTAGATATTTTTTTTTTTAATTGTCAGCAGTAGTAAGCAAAATTCACAATTTCTTCTTCCTAGCATTTGATTTCATATGCTAAGGTTAGACTGCCCGGTGGGCTGCCTCTATGAATTTTCATGTCAGTTGCAGAGCCTTCATGGTTCCCCATAGCCTGTGATGCACGCTTTGCTCTTGAGGCCAGTTCCCCCCCCCCCCCCCTTGTTTAAGTACATCGGGCAGATCTGCAGAATGTGCTTAAACGTTCGTGGTGTGACAAATATATTGCGGGGAGTGTAGTCTCTGCTTTTTGTGTGTGGTAATTCAGTCTGCAGTTTCCTGTTCTTAGACGGAAAATTGTGTATACGTTTTCTGGGTATAGTGGATGTTTACAGTGTGTTCTCTCCACAATTTTGTCTCTTTGATAAGTGATATGATTTCTGGTAATTAAAAAGTATAGGTCTTTTTTTTTTTGTCTCTCTTCTCTTCTTTGCCGGTCTGCCAACTTATTTCTTTTCCTGGTATGCTGCAGTGGCCCAGGATCTGCCACAGAACAACTTGGTGATGGTGTTTCTGTTGCTGAGAAGCAGCAAATCACCGTCTCAAAAATATGAACTCCACAACTTCTATATTAGCTTAGCACTCTCTTCTTATTCTCAGCGTTCACCAGCGTAAACTAAACAGAAAGTTCTGTTTGTTTTGTCCAATTCATTCTGAACTAGTCATGTTTCAGAACTTTGAAGTTTTGTTTGCATATCTGTTTTACAGCACTGACATCCAATAGACCACTCAAGGTTTGCACTTTGAAACTTTGAAGAATATCTCTGAGGTAAAGCAAATGTTGAAAGAATTTATTTGCAATGGAGAACAGTAAGCTGTCTCCTGTATTTAGCTGTCAGTGTCAACCTTGACCTCTTATTCACCTCAATCTCTGGTCTTAAAACTGTTTTTTGCTGACCGCCTCGTATGGTCATTAGGAAATCAATACAATAAAGTTGCTGGTATTACCATAAGGGAGAGTTATTTTTAATTCACCAAAACAAATGAAATCCCGGAGTTTTAATGTTCTAGGGGTGTTATTAGTTATGGTTTAGTCAGTGTCTCAGCAGGTGATCGGGAGAACTTAACCCTAACCCATAACACCCCTAAAATGTACTTTCCCAGGATTATCTTTGTGAAAAGAAAACAAAAAGTGAAATTGGCTAAAGGGTAGGGCAGTAATTTGTATTCCATGACCTTTCCAGTCAGGTCAGTCAGAGGCATACGATTCTAGACTCACAGACTATATGGCATTCGGTGGGCGTGGTCAACATCACGCCTGCCGCCTTTACTTTCCAGGACATTACCTGACACCAATTTTAGGCTTTGAGTGGTCGACTTGGTAGCATCATACTAACTATCATACACTCAATACTTTTGAAACTGAAACTGGTCATGGAACTGTTCGATTAATATTATATTATGCTTGTTTACAATTCAGCCCCATAAGCATTTTCTCAATGTGCTTATATCTAGAGTATGAAATGTAGACAGGGTCGACACATCTCGATGTAAACGGCAATGACCTTCTATAACTTTTATTGTCCGTATCACTCCCGTGTCCCTCAAATGACTGAGACCGAAACCTGAGGCTGCCGAAAGCCGAAACATGTTTCCTTATTCTGCAACAAATGTCTTTGAATACTTTATATCAATAAAAGAAAACAACGGAGATAAGTATAAAATAAATACTTACCCTGGGTAGAGCTCTAGGCAATTGCCTTGCCAAGGTGGAAGCTAACCTGACTGTCAGCATGTTTTAATGTAGATGTTCCGTCCTCGCTAAATGGCAGACCAGGGACGACAGAGGGCACTGCCTCTTTGCACATGCGCGAAATCTTTAGTCTTCTTCCGTAAAATATTTTCACTTGCAAAAATGAAATTTTAATTAAAGAGTTAACAATTGGTGTATATATTTTATACCTTTTGTAATATATATATGTACTAGTGTAACATAATATATGTGAATATATTAACAATAAAATATAATTTCATTTTGCTTAGAGATTAATTTAGAGGTAAAAATATGTAATCGCTGCGATGCTACAAAACAAATTAAAATTATTTAGTTTTTGTCGTTTAAGAGATTAATGTAGCTCAGGCTGGATTTAGACAGGGAAGAGGAACAAGAGATCATATATTCAACATGCGTTTAATAATAGAGAAGTGTAGAGAATTTAATGTAAATCTGTTCTTATGTTTTGTGGATTATTCAAAAGCATTTGACTGTGTACAACATCAGAAGCTTTGGGAAATCATGAGGAATATGGGCTTTCCATCACATATAGTGCAGCTCATTAAAATGCTCTATCAAGACCAACAAGCAGCAGTCAGAATAGATGGAGAGACATCAGACTGGTTTGGCATCAAGCAAGGAGTCCGTCAGGGATGTGTTGCTGTCACCGTATTTGTTCAACCTGTACGCCGAAAATATAATGAGAAATGTAAGAGATGATATAAACAAGGAACAATATGATGCCCTAAACATCGGTGGTCATGAAATACCAGAAATTCGTTATGCTGATGATACAGTATTACTATCAACATCACAAAATGGTTTAGAAAACTTATTAACCTCACTCCAAAGAAATAGTGAAAATCATAACTTATTTCTTAACACAGCAAAAACAAAGATAATGCATACAAACAAAACTGCCATGGAGAAGGAAATATATGTTAATGAGGAAAGATTGGAAGTGGTGGAAACTTTCGAATATCTTGGGTCACTGGTTACCAACAATGGTGACCACAATGAAAGAAATTAAACGGCGACTATCAATTGCTCTTCAAAGACTAAAACAACTGAATAAATTATGGAATTGTACAGATAGAATTACAAAGGTCAGATTTTTTAAGAGCATGCATCTTTCCCATTGCAACATACGCCTGTGAGACCTGGGACACTTACTAAACAAGCGGAACAGCGCATAAATGCATTTGAATATAAATGTTACAGACAGGTTCTAAGAATATCTTGGGTAAAGAAAAGAACAAATGCATCCATACTTCAAGAGCTGAATATTGAAGAGGGTTGGCTAGTAAACGACAATAAAACAAAGAAAATTGAAATATTTTGGTCACTTGAAACGTCATGGAGGTCTAGAGAGAACAATAATGGAGGGGTATATGCCTGGGAAGAGAGGAAGAGGAAGGCCAAGGAGAAGATGGGTGCAGGATGTGGCAGATGATCTCCAGATGGGTGTATCAGACGCAGGACATCTTGCTCATGATAGGAAGGTTTTCCGGAGGGTTGTTATGGCAGCGAGGTTCCGCGAGGGACATGCTACTGAATGAATGAATGAATGAGTTTTTGTCGTTCAGCAGCTGTTAGTTGGTCGACAGATTGCATGCACATCGAACTATTTAGTGCTCGGATTCCCTCCTTAGTAAATCCTGCAGAGTGTTTCGGCTCACGACACAAGTTATGTTTTGGTTCTTTATTCTTCTCTGGCCTCCTGCATGGTGCTCTTTTCTGGCCACACCCCTTTTAACTTGTTCTTGCAGTCTAGTCACTGTTGCAGATTCACAGTCATCACTTGATTCTCGCAAGTCTTACTTCTCTTAGTGCATACAGAATATCAGCATGGTCCATGGCATGGTCCACAGTAGCTTTACCTGCAAGCCGATCAGCTCGCTCATTTCCTTGCACGCCTGAGCTCTTCTTGGGCATACTCATTGAGTCAATGAGAAATCATGCGAGGAAAAAAAAAGTCTGAGTCTCCAGCCATGTTATTGCTTTGGTCACTGCCACTTGACCTCCATAATCAGACTACGTGCTGGTCAACAGCGCCAGAATCTTGCTTCACAGTTCCAGCCTGCGGCGTAAAAGCCCAAGAGCTTCTCACGTGGCAAATTACTGACCAATCTGTGTAATTGATAGCATCCTCCTGTAGAGAATTCTCGAAAATCAAAGCCTGCACTTCTGCCTTAACAACGACTGGGCTTTCTTGTCTGCATTTTTGTTTAGACGAATGCAAACAGAAAAGGTCGTGCCGAACTCTGTTGGTATTTGTACACATTCTTCACTAGGTTCTATGTCCTCAGGTGAACACACATGCTGAATAATGTCCTCAACCTGGCCCATCCACGATTTTCCTCTTTTTTAACCTTCTTGGTGCCGAAACACAGCAGCTGTAATTTGAGTTAGGCAGATCTAGATTACGTGTATGCAAACTGTTTTTTTCGGGTAGATGTACTCTGACTTTGAAAAGAAAATCCTTATCTGGTCGTCTTTTAAAACATAACTTATTAGGGAGGTGTTTTAATTTTGAAGAGCTATTGAAGAGGAGATCGGAGTACCTATTGATCTGTGACATACTGTAAAGTAAAACTAAAAGTAAAGATCCCTTTTTCACGACTTTAGGTACATCGGGCATATGGGAAGAGCACCCATATTTTTACAGACCAATCGGCACTAGGTGGGTAATGTGGTCAGCATTACGCCGGTTGTCTTAACTTTCCCAGAACAGCCATCCTGGTACCAATTTTAGGCTGGGTCGACCTGCGACACCTGCGATAAAAAATCCACGCAGCCATCAGTGGGTTTCGATCGCGGTACGTTGAATTACGAGTCAAACTCGCGAAGCCTTAGCCACGGACGCTGCGTGATTTGATGTGATCATAGATATCACTAATCAATATAGCACCGGAACCTAAGGGGCAAACCTCCCCCATTTTTTGAGAGGGTGGTGTGGGCTCAACTCTCCCCCCCCCCAATAATTTGCTCAAGTTCTTTGTTGAAGACGGTTTATTTGCTTTTGTGTGTGTGTGTGGTGGGGGGGGGGGGCACCTGTCCGTCTTCCAATAGGACAGTGTTCTGTATAAGGAGGTATGGGAATCACTTCTCACGCCGGTACCAGTGAAGGACAGAAATGGAACTCCTCTCTGTAGCACACAGCCTGGGGCAGTACTATGGAGACTATGTGTTAACAATTCACACTATCCCTTGCTCGGTCAGCTTTGTTAACTACAAAGAAAAGATAACACCAGTTACTGTGAAACAAAGCACGATGCAGAGGATGCTGGATCAAAAGAGAAATCCTATATATGTCCATGTGTCGGAGCTTCCCTCCTACACCAGCTGCTAACCAAGGCTAACCTAGTTTGCTCTGCCATAAATATTAGGGGCCCGGCAACTCACAGGCAATCGATACAACAAGATTTACAGAAAGTAAATCTTTTTCACATCTTAGGCAAATCGGGGATGTCGTGATAGTGTTATAGTTTTAAGACTAATTGGTACTCTCTGAGTGATGTGGTCATATCCCAACGGTCTTTTTTACTTCCCATGACATTGCCTGATATGATACTCATTTTAGGTTTGATATACCTGAAACAATAAGGAGACAAACAAAATTCTCTGGTCGTGTGATGAGAAAAAGAGCACTGGAAAATATCGTGACGACTGGAAAGATCACTGGTAGGAGAGGCAGATGCAGACCAGGAGAAATGATGGTGGATGGCTTTAGACAGTGGCACTGAGGAATGTCATCTGTGGAATTGGTCCAGAACACCAAAGACCGAGATCTGTGCAGATGCACGCACATCTACGCCAACTTGGAAGGCACTTGATGATGATGATCCCTGATGTCAACGTCAATTTGTGAGGGGGGACAAAATCTCGCTCGGTGAGGATTTGATCTCTAGACCTTTAGGCCTGCGGGCAAGACCTATTCAGCAACTACTGAGGGTCAAAAGTGACATAGGTATCTCGTGGGTGGGAAGAAGGAAACTCCGTGAAATTGTAAATAGGAGATTGCGTGACAAATAATTTGTTCCAGTAAAGTGACAAGGGTGTCTATTATTATAAAGCCGACTGTACATCTGCTTCACAGTTAACTGGATTTAGCTTGAAAATTACTTGTTTTTTTTTTTTACGTTCCCATCCTAGTTATCTGCTGTATGATAATGTACTACAATTTTAAGTAGGTCTCTTAGGATATAAGTAAGTAAAGTAAAGGACCCTTTCCACGCCTTTAGGCGTATAGGGCATATAGGGCTAGACCTATATTTTTATAGACCAACGGCACAAGATGGGTGATGTGGTCAGCATCACGCCGGCAGCCTCTACTTCCCGGGATTGCACCCGGTACCCACTCAAGGCTGGGTCGACCTGGGAGCCAAGGTCATTTTTTAAAGAAAAGCCCGTCTCCACCAGGGAGCGAACCCACGACCTTCCGATCCGCGGCGCGCGTCTCTTAGGATATGCTCTCCTCTAACTCTTTTGGGAGTTCTTTGCCCCTACTCGCCGTTACGACAGTCGTTTCTATGCTGATATAAACTAACCATATTACAGAGACGACGTCTCAGTGTGGTTATTACTGTCTTGGGTTTTTTCTCAGTCGAAGCACATATGTTATCAGTTACATGCATGTTGTAATCAATGGAGCTATGATGTTTATCTTCCTTTTGTAATTACTTGCTTGTTGGGTTGAGTTGGTTGAGTTGAGCTGAGTTTCTTCTTCTTCTTCGCGTTCACCAGCTGTACACTCTGGCGGAAAGTTCTGGTTGCTCGTCCACTACTGAACTGCAGTCCTGCTCCAGAACCTGAGTGTTGCGTGTGCATCAGTTTTACAGATCTCATTCTCTTGAATACAGACTGTTGGTTCCTTGCCTCTCCGGCAGATGCACTCCGACTTCAAAGGAAGCTCCCCAAATAGTCGACTCTTACGACACGCTTTTGGGGAGGCAGTGGGTCTATTCTTGTTTTCCCCACAATGGGGCCCCAGGACCCACACGGGGGTTCTGAGTTTCAAG